ATGACTGATTAAAAATTCTTCAAAAAGCCCAAGAGAAACATCTCAGTTCAATTGTTTACTCAGTTGTTCTTGGTGTTTACTTTGCTGCTGTAATTTTGAGATCAGTTTAAATTTCTCTGCACTTTGGATTGCATTCTGTTTAACGTTTTAGTAGTTTAAAATGCAACTACTGGTTGATATTGTTATATTGTATGAATATCTTTGAGTTAAAAAAAACCTAGCATTTTGTTACATTTTTTTGATAAGATTAAATTCTATTAACTTTTTATTGGACTTGTGTGTTCAATCTATTACAAAACCTGTGTGCACACAACAGTATTTTCGAAATCATTTCTACATAACTCTCTATGTTGTTGAGGGTTTGGCCTACAAACTTAATCATAGCAAAGTTCCCCAAGATGGCTATGATTAAGTATAACTACAAACTATCTTCCCATTTTATACCTTGACTGCTTTTTTTCTTATTTATATATACAATACAAAGCCCAAGATCCAGAACTTTCAGACTTCAGAAATTACCAAATTTAAAATCATCAGTTTTAATGTGGTAGGATGGTATGTAGAAATTATAAAATTAGTAATAGGAAATAGTTGTTTATGGAATGAAGTATATATATGATCTTATTAAAATAATTTGCCAAAATAAAGTGCTTGGTATTTGTTTGTTTTGTTAAACATTTCTTTCAATGTAAGTTTTTTAAGCTGTTTAATTTTTTGTGCTAATTCTTTCTCTTCAGTTTTATAGGTAGACATAATTTTTTGTTTAATTACAAAATTACATGGTTCAAATCCTACAACTGTCATGTTGAGAATTACCACTAAACTGTCAATCAAAATCTTTTCTTTCTTAGAAATCTCTTTGTCACTTTTCACAATTGGTAATGATATTTTCTCGATTTAAAACCATAAAACAGGTTTTACCTTCTGTAAGTTAATTCCTGATTAGGGCATTGTCATCACAATGGAAAACTTCTGTTATATCATCCTGATTTATTATCACTTCTCTACATTTTTTCACAAATTCCATTACTTGGAAAATTTTGCCATCTATCATATATCATTTAAAATATACTTAAAAAAAAAAAAAAAAAAGTTTGTTCGTTTACCTAATTTTGAAATTGTGCTTTCTTAACCCTGAATTTCTTCAACACTGTTTTCTGTCACCAGTGCCACTATAGAAGGTGCATACTAAATATAATTTTATGTAGCAGATCCTGCTATGGCTAAAGAATTAGGAACTGTTTTCAATTTAAACGAAAATTCAAACTTTAATTTTGACAAGTTAGCTATAATAATAACAGCCTGCAAAAATTAATAAGCTAGATCATATTAGAAAGTTAAATGTATAGCATAATTATCTATGTTAACTAAGTTCCAGTTCTTTGAAATCTAATTTGTTCTCTCTTCCCCAACAGCTGAAGCATTTGTCCAATGAATCATTAAAATCTCTTCTTTTTCTGTACAATAGAATATGGAAAGAGTATTTCTTCCCTAATGCTTGGTGAAATGCTATAGTGATCCCCATTGCCAAACCTGGAAAGGACCCAAAGAATCCATCAAATTATCGTATTGTCGCTCTCACTAGCTGCCTATGCAATTTTCTAGAGAAAATGGTAAATAATAGCCTTGTCCATTTTTTGGAAGCAAATGGTTGCCTATCACTAAGCCAAAGTGGTTTCCGGAAAGGCCAATCGACAACTGCTAATGTGCTTATGCTTAAGACCACAGTGCGTAATGTCTTTCTTAAGAGGAACCATTTAGTGTTTTTTTTTTTTTTTTTTTTTTTTTTTTTGACATTGAAAAAAAGCATATGCAAGACATGGAGATATGGAATTCTCCAGGATCTTTATCATTATGGCCTACGAGGAAAACTTCCAATTTTCATTCAGAATTTCATGAAAGCAGGCTCTTTCAAGTAAAAATGGGTTCTGTGCTGTCTAAACCATTTTACCAAGAAGAGGGAGTGCCACAGGGCTGTGTACTGAGTGTAACCATTTTTAACACATTGACTGCCGTAGGGTCACAGGTGGCCGACACTCGACTTGGCTACAATGCTGTGGGGGGCCACCAGTAACCAGCGGCGCGACCAACAGTGAAAATACATAATTAGAGTAAATATCGATACTGATAAATTTTTAAATAATAACCATTATAACTATAATGGTTTGAAGAGTAATAGATCACAGAAATGGTCTGCAGCTTCTCGGGGGGGGGTGAGCGGTGACCCCACACCAGGAAAAAAATGTATTAAACACGATTACATAACTCGCCCTATGTTTTGTAGATAATATTTCGACATAGTATGCATCGAATAATAAAAAATTCATGTTGGCGCCATTTGCGAACCACGTAAAATGCACGTGGCATTTAGCGTGTTAATATTAAAATAAATGCAATTCTGAAGGAACTTCCTCCAACTGGTATGTTATATATCGACGACTTGCAGATAAGCTGCCAAGCTGCAGATATGTAGTGTGTCGAGAGACAACTACAGATTGTCATTAATAGGATTGTTATATGGTCGGATAAAGATGGATTCAAGTTCTCTAATCGAGAGACAGTTTGTGTCCATTTCTACTATAAAATAAATCTTCGTCTGGATCCTAGAAGGCTCACCAGTTCCAGTAGTATCAGAAGTTAAACTTCTAGGAGTAATATTTGATAAGAAACTCGCTTTTCTTTCCCATGTCTCATACCTAAAGAAAAAGTGTATAAAAGTATTAAATACTTTGAAAGTGTTATCAAATACTTCCTGGGGAGCAGACAAAACTTTTATACTCCAAATTTACAGAGCTCTTATTCACTGCAAAATCGAGTATGTATCAGTGGCCTATGGATCAGCACGACCTTCTGTGGTAAAGAAGCTTGATCCTGTTCATCACCAAGCCCTGAGAATTTGTTTAGGGGCTTTCAGAGCATCTCCTGTGCAGAATTTGTATGTAGAAAGTTTCGAGCCACCCCTTCAGCTGATAACTCGCCCTATGTTTTAAGCAAGAGACATAAGCAATTGTGCCTTCAATATTATTTCAAAACTGTTTCGCATTCTGATAATCCATTCAACTACTTAGTGCTCGATAGCCAGTTTTATTTGCTCTACCAAGTGCATCTTTCTTGTATTCCTGCTTTGGGATTATGCGTTCAACAGTGGATGCAAGAACATGACTTGGAAGAGATGAAAGCAAAGCATTTGGAAATCCTCCTTGGAAAGATGCTTACATTGAGCTTCTCAACACATTTTCCAACTTAGCTAAAGATAACACCAATGATGATGTGTACAAGCAGATTTTCTATGAACATAGACAGGCTTTCAATGACTATGTTGCAGTGTATGCAGATGGATCTAAGTCTCAGGATCAGATCGGCTCTGCCTTCATGTGCGAGAATACTATTGAGGGAATAAAACTTCATCTCGCTTGTACTATCTTTATTGCAGAGAACATTGCTTTGCTATTAGCTCTTCTTTCATAGGTAAACAGCATAGGAAAAATTTCGTTATTTACACAGACTCGCTTATTGTACTAAAAGCTCTCGAATTGTATGTGAATAACACAAATCCGATAATCATAGAAGTGCTGAAGCTCAGTATTAGCTTCAATACCAAAGGTTACCAAATAATTTATCGCTGGGTACCAAGCCATGTTGGTATAAAAGGAAATGAACTGCCAGATATCGCTGCAAAATGTGCCTCTGGGTTATCCAGCTTTCCTGTTCTCTATTGAGATATTAATACTCTGATTGGGAGGAAAATTCTGGTGAAATGGGAAAAGCTTTGGGATGTGCAGTTAACCAGTAAATTATGAAATATAAAACCTAAAATAGAACAACGGAAATGTGCCCTAAACTGAAAAGAACAGGTCCTACTTACCCGATTGAGAATCGGTCAACAAGGCTAACACACAAATATCTATTGATGGGCAAAGCTGAACCAGTATGTGCTGAATGCAGCACTGTTTTAATCGTTAAACACATTTGAATTGATTATCCAAATTTTAATTTCTTTCATAATTTTTATTTTAATACTTGTGTGATTTCAGCAAAATATTTAGTTGGTAAAGAACTACATTTTAACATTTTTAACTTTTTAAAAGCTATAAAGTTTAACCACATTATTTGAATGCTCTGAATCCAATATGGGTTTCAGAAGATCTAATTTGGATCTAGTTTTATTCATATCATCAAAATTTATCCTTTGACTATAGATTTTTCTATCTGTATTTCATGGTTTTCATATCCTGGTTTTTTATAAAAGAATTTTATGTGTCTGATCTTATTGCTTGCTATTTTATACACCTGTATGTAACATTGTCTTAAACACAACCTTTTGTTTGGCGCAACATAACCCCATGGGTTTTGTGCCAAAAAACTCCAACCAACCAACCACCCTCTTCTCCAACAAAAGAAAATCAGAACAATATACCACTCCTAGAGCTTCACTTATTGTTTAAGTCAGATAGAAAAATATTAACTTCCCTCCACAACAGCTCAAGGGCCAAAAGCATGGTAGTGGCTAATATTGATCAATGTAATTGTCATTTTCCATGGTACGATTCCCCAAAAAGCAAGTGCTCAAAACTAACATACAGTTCGTCCACAGAAAAATCATTTTTATGGTATGTCTGCTTTTTCTTTTCACTTATAGTCTCCATTCCTAAACTTTATAAAGGAAAAAAAAAAAAAAAATACGGAGCTCTGGATATCAGACTTTGTACTGTATTACCTAAATTACCTGAACTCATTTCAAGATGCATATCGTGGATAAAAATATCATGTAAAATGTATACACCCAGACTGCGTAGAGAGTTAAGAACAAATGAAGTAAATGAATTATACATATGAGCAATAACACAATTTAAATCATTTTGTGTGAATATTTATAACTGAAATATGTAAGCAGCTAATAAGCAGGAAACATATTTATCAGCATATGTATGCAAAATATATTTTCTTAAATTAAGAAATTTAAAAAAATTTTTTTTTATAATTTTTACTTTTTTCTTCAGAACTCCGACAGATATCTGAAACTTACAACTCAATGTTTGATCTTGATGTTTACGTGAAGAAGCTTATGAATGCTAAGCGCAGAGTAATGTTAGTTAATAATATTTTACAGAATGCACAGGTTGGTGAAACTATTACTATTCTCTCAGTTTTAAGTTTAGTTTTTTTTGCAACTGACTGATAAATTTTAATGCATGAAGTAACATAAATGAGCTAAAAATATTTTTATAATTTTCTGTTAACAGGTGCCCGTTATTAAATGTGATAGCTTGTTTATATTGTGTCATGAATATTCCAAATAAGTGGCCGCAAAGTATAAACATCAGTATAGGAATTTTTTCTCCTAAATTTTCATGGATGAGTTAGCACTGGATATGAACTTTAAAAATTAACCACAAATGCAATGTCATTAATCATGATACAAGATATTATGGACAAAATGATGAAATAAATATCAGTGATTAGTCATCGGAACCTAGATTCCTACCTAATCAAATTCGTGTGATAGTAACTATATGAAAACTTGCAAATGTTTTTGGTAATATAGAATGGTATTTATGGTTTTATGCATCCTTAGTAATCTGAAATGGATCTGGTAAAACCTAGTTTGTCTCTATAACAAATTTAGTAAAATAGTAAGTCTTTTCATGATACTTTGTGTATTGTTAGGATTGTTGCCATCTAGTTACATTTTATGCAAACATTTGTGTTTGCTGTTAAATGGTACCCTTAAATAGAGATGCCAGTATTTCTAATCCTGCTATGTGCAGCTATATGAAATATTGTGCATATGCAGCTGATTTCATATATTCATATTTTATGCACTTTAGCTATTGTAATTGTTATTTTTTAATCACTGTTTGTTGCTGGTAAATCGTGTGTTTAACCTTATAACACAAAATTAAGAAAAATGCAACCTTAATTTGACTTTAATTTTAAAAGAAAGATATATGCAGATCTGGCATAACTTCCTATCATTAGTACAGTCAAAAGTCATTAATCCGGACACCCATAATCCAGAATCATCTATAATCCGGACCTCAAGGTTACAAACTTTCTGCGCATAATGCGTTCACACATGCGCATAATATGTTTACGCATGCGCGTTTAATGTATAACAGATGGTATAAGCTAAGCTAAAATTATCTATTTCAGTTAATGTTGCAGATTGCGTTGTTCCTTAATCTTCGAACTGGATCCGGCTTATTATTTTTTGCAGACTGTTAGAGCAATTTTATAAAAGTAAGCTTGAACTTTCGATTATGTCAAATAGAATTTCCAATATATATATTTACTAACATGTAAAGGATCTAAAGTGAAAGTATGTTTTGATGTCCATCAAACAAAAAGTGGAATTGCTGCAAAAAATGGATAAAGGCATATTCTTTGTTTCTCTAACCATTCCCAAAACCTGTTTATCAATTTCACGCTGCTCTGCGGGGGGCCGGACGTAGCGGTGTGCAATGAACTGGAAGTTGATCTGTCAGCACTATTCTTATCTTCAGGGCAGATGTTTTTATTTTATTCAGCTTATAATTCCTTACTAAATGTAGTATTTCATCTCGATGTATTCCATCTTTGATATGATTTAAATCAAATTCCTCGTCATTATAAACATCACGAGTACACATCAAATAGTTTTCTGGTCACAATTTTCTAATTTTGACTATGCGTAATGTATGCTTTACGCATGCGCGTGTTGAAAGAAATGTTAATAAAGTAAACAAATAAATATTAAGCTTTTTTTGTAAAATTTTTTTGTAAATTTTTTTGATACCCTTTAGATCATAATTGATAATAACCTCTTTATTTCATAAATTACGGTTTCATATTTTTAATTTTTAAAATTTCTGCATGCCATCTTACCAGATGTAAACTGATGATCTATAATCCGAAAAAATCGATAATCCGGAATCGCCGAAGTCCCGACGAGTCCGGATTAAAGACTTTTGACTGTAATAATTTTCTATCTTCTTTGAGGAATAAATTATTTTATTCTTTTTTCTGCCAAACTTTCGTGATCATTTCAAAAAAAAAAAAAAAAAAAAAAAAAAAAAAAAAAAAAAAAAAAAAAAAACAAAAAAAAAAAAAAAAAAAAAAAAAAAAAAAAAAAAAAAAAAAAAAAAAAAAAAAAAAATTCCAAGTAATCATTCACATAAATGAAAATAAAATTATTAATTAAATCAAAAAAGTTAAATTCTGTGATACATTTCATTTAGTAAAAAATTCATGAGCATTTTCTGTTGTTTAATAAGTGGCTTCATAGTAATAACTTTTTCTAATTACTATTAAGTCACGAAATTTTCTCAGAATAACTCGGAAAAATTTTTTTTTTCAAAGCGGAGAGTTCATTTTCAGATTCTTTTAAAATGCTTCTAAAATTATTCAAAAATAAAACAAAATGAATTTCAGTCCAAGGTAGAATTTTGCTTAATTTTAGATCATTATATCTTTTGGAATCTGGTTGCTTTTTAAATAACATGGTAAAAGGAGGAAGTATTGGACTTAAGCAGTTTAATCTTCTAGAGGGGGAAAAAGTATATAATAAGTTATTATGATGCTTAAAATATATTATGTAAAATACTTATATTTAATGCTCTGATCTGTAACTTTTACAAGTTGCATTCGTAATTGAGGCATAATTGCTAGTTTATCCCCATAAACTGTTTGCTGGTTTACAGTTTGAGACCAGTTTCTTCTATATCAGTGCAATGTATCCATTGTTTGGACAGTTACCTGTTTGACAAGTATTTTAGATTTTGCTTTCCATCTTAGTTTCTTTTCTCAAAATAACATAAAACAAATTTGCAATTAGAATATGCTACACTGTTAGTGGTGTATTTAATAATGGTGTAGCATATCCTAATTGCTAGACCATTAGTGCACCCACTTAGCTTATTCTCATGAGCTGATGAAAGCATGTATAGTCATTTCAGTTAAAGACTGAAGAACTAAATCTAGCAGTTGATGGTGTCTTCAATTAAGGCCTGTACATGAGACCTTGCCATGGTCAGATGGCATAAGATAACCAGGGGCCAATCGCTGAAGTTACTGAATGCTGGTAGTTTGACAAGGTTTCGGTTTGTGGTGAATGGGCATTTTCGTGGTTTTTCTTATGTGTAATGTATGAACCAGTTATCTTAGAAAGTCCTCCATGAAGGCATCCCTCCTCTTAGGCAGATAGCCCTCAAGTGCTTTGCCATAATTAAATAAACCAAAACCAGTCAGATGGTATAATGTTTCTGATTGCCTTGTGTATGACAATTTAATGTATCTGACTCCAATTAAGCATTTCTTTGGTAATAATAAATACTTTATTATGCAACATAAATAGCTTATGTAACTTTTAACACGTTGCATTCATAATTTTGGCATAGTTACTAGCTCGTACCTATAAACAGTTTGCTTGTGTATATTAATAACAGGAAAATTAATTTTAATATCTCTCAGTGTACAATTTGAGACCAACCCTTCTACATTAGTGCAATGTATCCATTGGTTAAGCAGCTTCCTACCTGACAGGTATTTTAGATTTTAATATCCATCTTGAATTTGTTCTCTCAAAATAGCATACAGTAAATTTGCAATTGGGATATGTTACATTGTTAGTGGTGTATTTAATAATGGTGTAAAATATCCTAATTGCTAGACTATTAGTACACCCACTAAGCTTATTCTCTTGAGCTGGTGAAAGCAGTTATAGTCATTTCAAATCAAAGACTGAAGAATTAAATCTAGCAGTTGATGGTGTCTTCAATTAAGTCCTGTACATGAGACCTTGCCATGGTCAGACAACATGATGTTTTTGATTGCCTTGTGTAATGATAATTTGATATATCTGACTCCAATAAAGCAGTTATTTGGTAAGTGAATAAATACTTTATTATCTGAGATGAATAGTTTGATTCTTCTCCTATAACATCACCCACTTTGCAATGCAAAACCAGCCATCACTTTCAATTGTCATTATTTTTAAAGTCTTTAAGGTGCATACAGCACATGCTCCTGATGTGCCTTATATAGGGCCAGGCTTTAACACCGGAGTAGACATGGATGTTTGTAACTGTTGGTGGTGCAGCAAGGAAACTCAAAACATAGGCAAGCTGAAAGTCCTCGAGAGGTTGATTGTAACAGAAGAAGGGTCGGAGAACCTCCGACAGCCTTTCCTTGGGGTGTTCTCACTGAACATTGAGGCAGAACTGCTCAGTTAATATGAGACTGTACCTGTATGACCTGTGAAATGTCTGATGTTTTGCCCACTTTGCTTATACAGTCAAAAGTCGTTAATTCGGACACCCATAATCCGGAATGATCTATAATCCGGACCTCAAAGCTAAAAACTTTCTGCGACAGGTGTTTTACACGTGCGCGTAAGACCTTGACGACTGCGCATATGCCTGTGCGCAAGTGCAGAATACGTTTTCGCCTGTGTGTTTAATGTATAATGGACGGTGTAAGCTAAAATTATCTAATTATCTATTTCAGCTAATGTTAATGATTGCGTTGTTCCTTAATTTTCGAATTGGATCCCTCTTATTATTTTTTGCAGACTGTAAGAGAAATTTTATAAAAGTAAACTTGAACTTTCGATTAGTCAAATAGAATTTCCGATGCTGGAGCTCCCAAAGGATCTACAAAACGAAACTATGTTTCGATGTCCATAAAAAAAAAGTGGAATTGCTGCAAAAAATGGATAAAGGCATGTCCGTATCAAAATTATGCAAGGAATATAACATTGGAAAGTCAACTGTATATGACATAAGCAAAAAGAAAAAGGAACTTTTTGATTTTTTTGTGGATTCCAACACCCCACTTGCAATGAATAACAGAAAAAGGGTTCGTTATGCTAAAAGTGACGATCATGACAGAGTGATGATTGAATGGGTCAGACAGCGTCACAGCGAGGACGTGCCATTGACGGGTCCAATGGTAATGGCTCAAGCCAAAATATTTCATGAAGAAATGAACTTAAATGGAGAGTGCGCATATTCGACAGATTGGTTAACAAAATTTTAAAATCGCCATGGTATAAGACAATTAAAAATTTCTGGTGAAAAATCTTCAGCTGATACTGAAGCTGCTGAACAATTTGCAGATGAATTCATTGAATTCATTACTAGT